AACCCTAAACCCTAAATCCTTCAGCCCTAGGCCTTATAGGCACCTCCCGAGGCCCTGAACTCTGAAACCCGAAAGCCTGACCCTTTAGGGCTTAGGGTTGAGGGTCTGGGGTTGAGGGTTTAAGGCTCTAGGGTCTAAGGTTATAGGGTTTCGGGTTGCGGGTTTCAGGTTCTAGGGTCTAAGGTTATAGGGTCTAGGCTTGAGGGTTTCAGTCTTCAGGGTTGAGGGTTTAGGGTTGAGGGTTTAAGGTTCTAGGGTCTAAGGTTGTAGGGTTTAGGGTCTAGGGTTGAGGGTTGCAGGGTCTAAGATTATAGGGTTTGGGGTTGAAGCTTTCAGGTTCTAGGGTCTAAGGTTTAGGGTGTAGGGTCTAGGGTTGAGGGTTGAAGGTTGTAGGGGTCTAAGGTTTTAGGCTTTAGGGTCTAGGGTTGAGGGTTGTAGGGTTTAAGGTTATAGGGTTTAGGGTTGAGGGATTAAGGTTGTAGGGTCTAAGGTTATAGGGTTTAAGTTTATGGGGTTTAGGGTTTGGGGTTTAAGGTCATAGACTCTATGGTTTAAGGTTATTGGGTTCAGGGTTTGGGGCTTAAGGTTTTGAATCTCAAAGCAAACCCTCAGCCGCTGGCTCCTGGTCTTTCCGAGGCGCACAATACCCGGGGCAGTCTAGAGAAAAGCTGCGAGAGGCAGGAGACTGCGAAAAGCACCACATGGGTCGCTCCCTAAACCCTAAACCCTAAACCCTAAAATCGATCAAGTCCCTACACTGCCTTCACCAAACGGCTGCGGCTCATCCAGGCAACGTCTGTGACAGGCCAGCAACCGGAAGCAAAAAGGCAACAGGCAGTAAGGACTTAGGGTTTAGGGTTCCCTAAGACCCTCAACCCTAAAACCTGGGTTCCCAAACCCTAACACCTGGGTCCCCCCCCAAAAAAAAACCCTAAACCCTAAAACCTGGGTTCCCCCCAAAAAAACCCTATAACCCTAAAACCTGGGTTCCCTGAAACCTTAAACCGTAAAACCCTAAACCCTAAACCCTAAACCCTAAACCCTAAAACCCAAGGCAACACGCAGTCACTCTCGGACTCCGAGAACTCGGACCCTGGAGGCGATCCAGGGTTTAGGGTTGAGGGTTTTAGGGTTTTAGCGTTTTAGGTTTTAGGGTTTTAGGGTTTAGGGCCTAGGGTTTAGGGTTCAGGGTTTTAGGGTTTTAGCGTTTTAGGGTTTTAGGGTGTTAGGGTTTAGGGCCTAGGTTTTTAGGGTTTAGGGCCTGGGGTTTCGGGTTTAGGGCCTAGGGTTTAGGGTTTAGGGCCTAGGGTTTTAGGGTTTAGGGCCCAGGGTTTTAGGCTTTAGGGTTTAGGGCCTAGGGTTTTTTGTTTTAAGGCCCTGTCTGACTCATTGGTTTCTGATTGTTCCTCTAGCCCCCCCATAAAATGAAACTTCCTACTATAATCTAGGAGATTGTAGTGTGAATGATAGGCTATGTCTTATGATGTCTGAAACCATGACTCTGAAAGAAACTTCCCAAGACGTGCGAAAGACTCGCCATTGAGGCAGTGCCCCAGCCTCTGCATCAACGACTGCATGTTGAAAAGAAACACTTAGCGACTTTCTGGTTGAATCCTATTTGTGCCTCTTCCAGCTGGACGGTGGCTTTGGTCTGCTAAAAGTAGCTATGTTCTGAATTTATAGATGAAAGAAAAATATCGCCGCTCACACTTCTCACGGCAAGGTGGATATGTGCGTGAGCGGCTCGAAAATGGACTAACTGGACAGTGTTCAAAGGCTGTCCCGCAGGCCGGAGCAACCGAGTTCCTGCAGCTTCACCCAAGCCGCAGTGAAATCTGCGAAGTAGGCATCCTCTCACTGGCCCAAAACCCAAGGACATAAAAATCTGAAACTTTCAGAATCGACTACCTT